CATTCCCCACACTGATAGGGTTTCTCCCCTGTATGAATTCTTTGATGGGAATTGAGAGAGGACCTTTCAGTGAACCTCTTTCCACATTCAAAGCACTGATATGGTTTCTCCCCTGTATGAATTCTCTGATGTTTAGTGAGATTGGAGCTCCTCCTGAAGCTCTTTCCACATTCTACACACTGGTAGGGTTTCTCCCCTGTATGAATTTTTTGATGGTAAGTGAGATAGTGGCTGTGAGTGAAGCTCTTTCCACATTCCATGCACTGATAGGGTTTCTTCCTACTGAGATTTCCTTGAGGGGAAGTGGAATTGGAACTTTTCCCACTTTCAAGATATTTATACAGCTTCTCCATTGCGGGGATTTTGTCATGGTCACCCATGTTCTTGATTTCCAGTTCATCACTATCTATAATGAAGAGAAATGGATTAGAGACTCAGGGAGAAATTAAGGAAGAATGCTTGTTAACACTGGTAATAGAGGAATAACACAAGTGGGTTAGATGGATGGTTTTCTGAAGGGTTGGGTGCATTAATTAACGGGGATCAACCGACATCCTTAGGGGAACCTGTGATTCGATAAGCCTGGCTCTTCTCTCGAATGGATTTTCTTTGGCTCCATCATGGCATCCCTCCATTTCCAATGTCAGTCTTCTCTTTGGACAACCAAAGACTGACGGGAGGAAAAACAAAAACTGAAAACCTGACAGAAGCTACTTCAACTTCCCTAACAACTCTGAAGTTTACAGTCAAAAGGGTCTGGGGAGTTCAGACCAGCTGATTCTAGTTTAATAAGCTGCAACTGGAGGAAGAACATTCACAGAAAAAACAGTAATTTACTATTCAAGGTTTTTTTGGAGGGCATATTGTAATATCCAGGGTTGTAGGGAGCGCTGTTGAGTTCTGTGAAAATATATGAGGTTTGTCACATATGGAGTTTTGAATTTAAAAACAGATATTATGATCCCACTGGGAGCCTTACCGAGAGAGGTCACGATCCCACGATTCTCCTCCATGATGTCCTTATGCAGAGCTCTCTGGTCAGGATCCAGCAACTCCCACTCCTCATCCGTGAAACAAACAGCAACGTCTTCAAAGCACACTGGACCCTAAAGGAAAAAGGGAAATGTCTTCCTCTGAGACAACACTGTTGTTCACCACCACTCCTTGATCTACGACATTGTTCCACCCCTTGGCCTCTGTCCCCACAAGGCAGCTTCCTCTGACCTGATCTGGTTCCACAGCCGCTGCTTCCATTCTGTCCCCATTCAGAGATGGATGAAGAGGTTTAGCCAGTATCACTGTGTCACCTGCAAGATGAAAAAGGTAAGGGGGAGGCCCAGAGTGCCTTCTTGTCTCACAGGTGAATCAGTGCATCTAAACTACACAGGGGCCTTTGAGAAAGTCTTGCCTGCTCAGTGCATTTGGATGTTTGGGTGCATTTCAGATGTTAGTTGTGAAAAAATGTATCTCCCCTCCTCTGGGCTCTTAGCCCCAGCTATCTCCCCCAACAAAATATGAAAAGTACCCACAGATGAGTTGGAAAACCAACAGAATGAGACTAAACGGAGAAAAACCTCCTCCCTCCTTACCCAGCTGCCTCTCTCTGGTGTCCAACGGGGGCCTCTCTGCCTCACAGGAATCCAGGTCCATTTCCACACAGAGATCCTTTCCCTGAAAGAGAAACAAGGATTCAAAACAGAGAATGATGAGATGGAATATAAAATGAATGTCAGGGCCAAAAACTTGGATGGGTGTTAGATCTCATTCCATGGATGCCTTGCAGAAAAAGAATGGGCCATCAGCAGACCATTATGGGATGTTTTCTGACCTGTTTGGAGCCCCTTGGGAGTATCCAGAGGAAAGTCTCTCTCACCTGCTTTCTCTGTTCCTGCTTCCTCTCCTCTGCCTGACTCAGGAGGAAACCTTCGGCCAGGGCCACCGCCTGGGAACTGGTCTCCGCTCCACAGTCCCTCACCCAGCTCTCCATCTCCGGTGGAAGGACAGCCAGGAACTGCTCCAAGATCACCAGGTCCAGCATCTCAGCTTTCGTGTGCCTTTCTGGCTTCAACCACTGACGGCAAAGGTGGTAGAGTCGGCTGCAAACCTCTCGGGGTCCTTTGGCCTCCTGGCAGCAGAACTGCCTCACCTGCTGGCTCTGCACCTCTGAGCGGAGGGTGTCCTCCTCACCATGGATCTTCTGCACAGAGTTTTCCCAGAATCCCCCACTGCTCCCAGTTTGGATGGCATGGCCTCTTCCTGCTTCAGGGCCAGCTGAGTCTCGCTCATCCATCTGTGCTCTCAGGAAGCCTCTAAGAGATTGGAAGGAACTCCTTGGTCTTCTGCCAAGTTCTGTCTGTCATAGTGAAAAGCTTTAGGAAATCCTACAAAGCAAATACATTGTTCTGCTATAAAGTTTATACACCCTCCTCTCTCTCTTCCCCCCCTTAGCACCCAAGAATTCTGCAAAATCCCTTTGTCAATAGATACATTATGGGGGCGGGTGACATTTCAGATTCTTTTGGCAGCAATGACAAAATTGTCAGGAAACCAGACAAAGAGGCAGAAGAGTCTATCAGCACCAACAATAGTAATGTAAAACCTCAGGGGGAAAATGTTAATCCACCAACTTTCTCAAAGTTGCAGTGAGAACATCCATGGCTGGAGATGTTCTCTGATGTTTCGGTATGCCCTGACTGCCAAGAATTTGCCTGGGCCGAGGACACAGGTTTTGTGAGAGGCAGAGCAGCATAAAGGAATGAAACAGGGAGTATATATTTATATTCTGCTTTTGAAATTTTGTACAGGTGTTAAATGTGCCATTTTTGTGATCTGGAAGGAAGTGGGTGAAATCTAAGAGGAGTCAGTCAGTGAATAAAACTCTCAGGCTCCTTTAAGACCAGATAGTGCATGAGTCCATGTTCTCTGCTTATGGTGATGTTTTATTCTCTGGGCTTGGTCTGACTTGTGAAACCCATTTCCGGATTGTTTTATTCAGTGCTGTGATATCTTGCAAACTACAAAGAGATCTTTTCTTTAAAATATAAAGCGGTATAGGAATGAAATAATGATGATAATGAATTGCATTTTTCTTACCTTTTCAGAAAAGAAAACAGGCTGTGTCTGCTACTCAACAAGAAGCTGGTCGTGCTAAATCTGCCAAGTCAAATCCTATGTCAATCCCAATGGCACAGGCAATAAAAACAAGGGAGAGGGATTTGCACACGAATGGGGAGGGGCTGGTCATCCTTGCCTTACGTCCGCCCCTTTTCCAGCAGAAAAGGCATGGAATTCTCATGTGATGCCTCTCCCCCCTCCTCTTTAACACCCTCCTCTCCTGGGCAGATGGAACAGGCATTGCTTCACTGTCCCTGCCAGAACTTCCTGTGCGGTGTTGAGGCTCTGTTCCAACATCTGTGAGCTGTCCCTCATCCTCACTTTCCCTTCTTTCCTCCACCGTCACTTCCTCCCCCTTCCTCTGCCTGTCTCTCCTCTTCCCCTTCATTCTCCGTCAATACCATGACACCGTCCTGTTACCGGAAAAATCCGAGGGCTCCCTTGGACAAAACAAGACACCAACCAGAGCAATTTAGAAGCAAATCAGCAGCCTGTAGGCTTGGTCTTTATTGAAGAAAGACTGTCGCGACAGGACTCCCACCGCCCACAAGGTGAAGCAAGATGGAAGCCCAGAACAAAAGAAGACCCCAACTTTTATTAGCTCCTAATCCCCTAAGTTACACCCCTAGAAATACATCACATTTACATCATGACTACATTAAGAACAGGAGGAGTCAGGAGAGGGGTTGCACAGGTAATCTGAGTATCCTGACACCTGGCCGGAGCCCCTTCTCTTCCTCCCCATGAGTCATTTTCAGAAAACAAAGGGAAAGGCGCAGTTTCCTGCCCCCTGAGGGGAATCTGGTCACGGTCCCTTTGTCATAGTCTGTGTTGAATACACTAGTGTATGCAGTAGTGTCCTTGATAGTCTTTCGTCTGAGCCCATCAAGATGACTATCAAGGTTGCTATGTCAACTGGGAAGGGCTGCAGAGTACGTGCCTGCTCGGTCAAGGGATTATGGCTGACTGGTATCAGGCCACCCCCCTTTGATAGTCCTTGTAATGTGAAGCAGAATAAAAGTGGTCCGGTGAAAATCCAATATATGGCTGATTTATGGTGAATTTATGAAGAATACTGTCCTTAAAGTTCAAAGCACTTTCGCCTTTCCCGAAGCGGTTTGCAACATTTTGATTAAATCAGTCACGGTCAATTGAACTCGGAAACTTTGTATTTGAGGACTGTCAAAGGCAGAGAAGCGAGCACCTGCTGCCTGCAGTACCTGCGTGGCCACCAAAAGGGGCGCTGTTCGGTAACGCTGATTGGCTGAAACGGCAGCCGATTGACCGGCCGGTCTACCCATAATAAAGATAGGGCGAGGTGGAGCGTTACGGGAAAATACATGAAAATAAAAGGGTTCTATGCGGAGCTAGTGCTTCCTTATTTATGGAAGGCTTTCATTGGGGGGGGGGATGCTACTCTAGAAGGGGCATCTCCAGGCTCGGGAGGTGGGAGGTGTGTGTGTGGTTCGGTTGGTAGCCTTCCTGAGCTAAAGCTTCCCCCGCCTTTGTCAGTATCTCCCTTTTTTCTGCCTCATTAAAAAGAGCCTCAAGTAACATATGTACATCCGCCCACGTGGGGTTGTGAGTGGAGAAGATGGTGGCCACTTGGCGGTGGCATTTGTCAGGGTCGTCCCGAAGAGAGGGCATTCTGTTGGACCAATTCATTAAATCCGAAGTGAGGAAGGGTTGGTGTGTGAAGACCATGCGGGGTGGGTCTCCTGCCCTGACCGGGGGTATAGGTAATGCCCTTAGAGGAAAAGCGCCCTCTATCTCTCCATTTTGTAGGTTATCCCTATTCCGAGTTCTACTGGAGACAGGTCCGTCCCTTTCTCCGTTAAGAAGTTGCCCGTTGAGTAGGGGTCCTATATCCAAATCTACTTGGTCTTCTATAGTGTTAGACGCACTCGGGGGAGGGTTGAGCGGCGATGCAATTGATGAGCTTTGGGAAGGGGTAGCGGCGGGTGGATTTGATACGTCTTCCCCAAGTCCCGCCCCCCACCGGCTCCTGTCCTGTCTCCTGCCCCAGATCCTAGCGGTCGGGGGGCTCGTGGTTCGGGGTAATAGAAAGGGACGAGGGTCCTATCTAATTGCTCCTCTTGGGCTCTAATTTCATCATATGGGGGAGGTCTGGTTGTTTTTAAAACAGCCATTTGTCGAACAATTTGGGCTTGTTGCTGTTGGAACAATTCACGGACTTCAACGAAGGCATTGAGGTAGTACAGTTGTCGGGGCTTCTCATCGGCTAGATAAGATTTAAGTGCCTGCATTTTCACAAGATTAAAGGAACCGTGAGGTGGCCATTGAGAGGCCGGCTCCAGGTGGTGGGTGTAAGCGACCCACGAGATGTTGCAGAGGTCCCTCAGTTTAGACTTTGAAAGTCCCTTCCTTCCTCTCAGTTCTTTCCAATTTAAGAGAACAAATTGTAGAGGGGTATCGGAGTCCTCTCTAGGGCGGAAAGGCTTCATGGAAGTCTTGTCGCCTGGAGGAGTCCAATCTGGGTGTTTGGAAGCGTGGGCTCCCATCTCCTCTCGTATGTATTGTAGGGTTTTCGTTGATGAAGTACACTAAAAGACAGAGAAAGTGGACACACACACACAAGGAAAGGGGACAAAAGGGGGAAAAAAGAGGGGACGGAAAAGATATTCTTTCAGTACTCGGGATATCCTTGACTAGTACGTACAATTCCTATCTATCAGTAAACCACAAAATAACTTTCAGAAAACCACAGGCATGAGCCTGGAAAACCACGGGTCTATCCACCCGGAAAACCACAGGCACAAGCCTGGAAAACCACGGGTCTAACCACCTGGAAAACCACAGGCACAAGCCTGGAAAACCACGGGTCTAACCACCCGGAAAACCAGGCACAAGCCTGGAAAACCACGGGTCTATCCACCCGGACAATAACCACGGATCCGGAATTCTACCTCAGCGCTGCTTAAAAGACTAACCTTAGTGTGGGGCCCCAATCTGTGAACCTCCCTCTCTATCATCCACGACAGCCTCCTGCCTAGCCTTTAGACTAATTTCGGGTTCCCTACTGGACGCCTGCGCAGTGCAGTGCCAGATCGGGGTCCGAGAAAACAAAGTTTGAAAGGAAGCAAATGACCTTGCGTTCTCACGTACACGGGTCATCCTCAACAAGGGTCGCCGAGCAGGAGGGGTGGCTTCATTTGCATAGACAGGGGAGGGGGGGAGAGAGAGAGAGAGAGAGAGAGAGAGAGAGATTTGTAAGGACGCCTCCGGGCGACTCCGAGGGAAGACGTCAGGGAAATAACAAAGTTCCGCACTTTCCCAGCCAAACTCCGAAGGGAAAACGGGGCAGAAAAGGAGAGAGGGAGATTTGTAGGGACGCCTCCGGACGACTCCGAGGGAAGACGTCAGAGAAATAGCAAAGTTCCATGCTTTCCCCGGCCAAACTCCGAGAGGGAAAACGGGGGAGAAAAGGAGAGACTTTAGGACGTTCCTGGTCGACTCCGAGAGGTAACGTCGGAAAACAACAGAAGTTCCATGATTTCCCCGGTCCGAGAGGGAAATCGGGGGAGAGAAAGAGAAAGTTTAGGACGTTCAGGAGAGACCCTCCAATCCAAGGGAAAAAGGGGCGTCCTAAGCAAAAGAGGGACATTCGGGCATCAAATCAGGAACTGGGACACCTTCTCTAAATCCAGGACTGTCCCTGTGAAATAGAGGGTCTGCATCACAGACCCCATTCCTTCCCCACAGGAGAAAGGGAATTTAGTCTACAAGTAACTAAGGAGAAGAAAAACTGAGCGAAATAACAGAAGCATTGCCTAGCAATGCAAAAGTTGACAAGAAAGCCATCATCACACTCCCTCAGGAAAGGTTTCCCCTTTCCCCTCTCTTTGGGGCGCCAGCCAGCGCAGCCTTTTGCAATTTCCCTTGGGCAATGCTCCGCTGCCGAGCCGGCAGGGAGCTCTGCGTTCTCCTCCTCTTGACGCTGCTCTCGCCTGGGAAAAGCGGCTAGGAGCAAGTAGCATCCGCCCACCAGCAACCGCGACTGCCCACCGCCACCGCTGCTTCCTGCGCGCAAGCAAGCAAGGTAGCGCGGGCAATGAGAGGAGGGCTGGCGCAGGGAACGCCCGAGTTAGGCAGGGAGTAAGGGCGCCTGCGGCATCCTCCTTGACTGTGGTCCTTGATCTCCGTTCTCCCAGATTCCCTACAGCCGCTCCCGCTTTCCTGGAGATCTAGCTCTACAAGAACAAGAGCAAATTGCCTCGACTCCTTGTCCCCTGGTTGTTCTCCCTTACTTTGTCTCCTGCCTAACCTCTTCCTCCTCTTCCTCCCTCACCTGCAATTCTGCCTGGCCCAAAGGGTTTTTCTCACTGGAGGCCTACCCTGCATGCATTCTTTCCTGGAAGGACCAGTGCAATGGCTTCAAGAGGTTTCTGCAAGCCGCCTGACTAAAGCCTGTCCAACACCTTCGGCATAAAATGCAACCTCTGGACAGAATTCTTTCTTTAAAAAAGAATTTAAGCCCTCATACCGGAGAAAGATTCCATACACTCTGAGAAATTCCTTTGTATAACAGTCATTCCATGGGCTTTCCATGACAGATTCAGTCTGCCCCACTCTTAGGCCTCTCACTGACTTTTTTCGCCCAAATAATTACTCAGCCAGTGTTGAAAAGACAGCCGGTTCGCTAGAGCCATGGTCACATTTCCTTTTTAATAACCACCATAGGAAACTTCCAAACTGGACCATGAAGTATACTGAGATTCTCCTGGTTAATCTAACATTCTTCTGCTATTGATCAGCTCTTTACGTTCTTAGGAAACCATCAGAGTGAGCCACTTGCCATCACAGTATGCACCCGCCCCAAATAACTCCCCTCACCCTGGAAATCCCTGCAGACCACAAGAATTTCAGGCTGCAAGGTCAAATAATTATACATTCAGTGCAGCACTGAAAGAGAATACAGCGGTACCTTGGGTTACAAACTCAATTCTTTCCGGAGGTCCGTTCTTAACCTGAAACTGTTCTTAACCTGAGGTACCACTTTAGCTAATGGGGCTCCTGCTGCCGCCGTGCGATTTCTCTTCTCATCCTGAGGCAAAGTTCTTAACCCGAGGTACTACCTCCGGGTTAGTGGAGTTTGTAACCTGAAACGTCTGTAACCCGAGGTGTATGCAACCCGAGGTACCACTGTACAGTGTTACAATGCTGGAGCAAATTAATGCAATCATTTGCTCTATGGGCAGCCCCCATGTATTTTAGTGTTGAATCAGTCTTGTGAATTGGTTGGCAAATTCAGATTCTGATCCACTGTGCTCCAGGCTAGCCTGAATACTCTATTCACTCCAAAAATCATACGCTTAGTGGATATTAAGGATGTTAATTATCTGAATACATGGCAAAAGATTTGTATCACAACCCCTCCTATATGCCAAAATCCACTGCGCGGGGGGTGGGGGTGGAGCAGCAACTTGTGGTGACCCCCAGCGCATTAGTCTTATGTATAGACTAGAAAAACTTAGATCCACAGAATTCTAGAGCTGGAAGGGACCACGAGGGTCATTTAGTCAACCCCCCGCCATGCAGGAATCTTTCAAACCAAGGAACCCGAGACTAGGAGTCTCTTGCTCTACTGACTGAGCACAAGTACACTGGCTAAAATAAAATAAAATACAGAAGCATGGCAACCCGGAGACATTTGTCCCCAATCTAAGACGGAATTAGGCACTTAGCTGCACTTAGGGCCATTTATTTCAGGAAGTTCAAGGATGTGTGAGTGCAAGTCTATACATTTCTACTCAGAAGCAAGACACACCGAGTTCAGCAGAGCTTGCTCCCAGGGAAATGGGTCCACAATTGCAGCTTTACTGGGTACTGGATTGCAGCTACAGTTCCTTAACAATGCAGATTTTTAATTTTTAATTTAGCCAGAGGCCGGATCACCACACCCAGTCCATTCAATTTATTCAGTAGGTGATGCAAAATACGATTAAAGGGAAAGGGCCCCTGACAGTTAAGTCCAGACACAAACGACTCTGGGGTTGCGGCGCTCATCTCGCTTGACTGGCCGAGGGAGCCGGCCATTGTCCACAGAGAGTATTTTTGGGTCATGTGCCCAGCATGACTAAGTCGCTTCTGGCAAACCAGAGCAGCGCACGGAAACGCCGTTTACCTTCCCACCAGAGTGGTACCTATTTATCTACTTGCTCTTTGACGTGCTTTCGAACTGCTAGGTTGGCAGGAGCTGGGACTGAGCAATGGGAGCTCACCCCATTGCGGGGATTCGAACCGCCAACCTTCTGATCGGCAAGCCCAAGAGGCTCAGACCACAGCGCCACCCGTGTCCCAAAAGATGATGACACACACTGAAATAAGTCCAGAAGGTGGTCCTTAAAATGAGCTCCTTCTCAAAACGCTCTGCAGAAGCAGCTGTGCACTCTTCTCATGCTCAGGTTGTACCATGTCAGTGGCAAATGGATTGAATTGTTCATCACGAGCCCAAATCGCGTTCCAGCATGCCACTGCTAAGTCCATGATTTGTGTTTGCCATGAACTGTCCCTCACATTGATAATAATAATAATAAATTTTATTTATACCCTGCCCTCCCCAGCCAAGACCGGGCTCAGGGCAGCTAATACCAAATATAAAACAATTGATTGATATACAACTTTAAAAACAAGATTAAAATACAACATTAAAATGCAGCCTCATTTCAGCAGAAACTCAAAAACTTTTGGGGGGATTAAAACATCAAGTCTTCACGAAGGCTAACTATCCAGCCTGGTCCTACGTGGGCCAGAAAAAGCCAGGGAAGTCCCCAGATAGGAGTTCCCTCACGGAAGGAAAAAGGAAAAAAGAAAGAGAGGGATGGGATCAAGTTGATTCCAAGCCAAAGGCCAGGCGGAACAACTCTGTCTTCCAGGCCCTGCGGAAAGAAATCAGATCCCGCAGGGCCCTGGTCTCAGGAGACAGAGCGTTCCACCAGGCCGGAGCCAGCGCTGAAAAGGCCCTGGCTCTGGTTGAGGCTAATCTGACTTTATTATTGTTGGTGGTTTAATAGTTGAGCGCCAGCATTTCGTACTGGTCTCTTTTGGTGCTGTTTACACAATGCTTTATGCTGTGTTTTCACGACATTTCTGCCAAGATTGTTTCATTGACTTGTTTTGTATTTGACTTGATGTTATCAGCCGCTCAGAGGATTTGGCCCAGGAGCGTTCAGAAACTGCATCCTCTTGGGCGAACCCCAGAGCTGAGCACTGCACAGAATTCTGCATCTGCAAGGGGACATCAGGATGCGGCCGGGAGCGAGTCCCTCTCAGCACAGAAGAGGGGTGGTCCAGGGCCCCCTCCCTCTGGAAACCCCCAAAAGGAGACCTCTCCAAACTCGGCTCTCCTCCCCAGAACTGAACTGCTTGGAGAGCCTGGAGCTCTGCCTCCTGCCTGGTGTGGGCAGGCTCTGGCTGGCAGGCGCCTCTGCCTTCCTGAATGGTGTGGGCAGGCTCTGGCTGGCAGGCGCCTCTGCCTTCCTGCCTGGGGTGGGCAGGCTCT